ACATCATCTTCTTTTCCTCTCCATTTGAGGGTCTGTACCTAGAAGTCTTATTCCCTCTCATAGGTTAGTTGCTGTTGTTATGTGCTGATTGAGTTCCTTGGTTTTTAAGGTATAACGTTTTATGCTCTTATTTTGAGTATCTGTATCTGCTTTGGTTTTAGTGTCGATGCCACATATCCTGGTTTTGTTGATCTCTGTTGTGGATTCTCTATTGGAAGGACTTCCTTACACATTTCTTGTAGAGTTGGTCTGGTTTTCACAAATTCCCTTCATTTCTGTATGCCTGAGAATGCCTTGATTTCACCCTCATATTTGATGGATAATTTGGCTGAATATAGGATCCTTGGTTGGAACTTCTTTTCCTTCAGTGTTTTATATATGCCATCCAATTGCCTTCTTGCCTGCATGGTTTCTGATGAGTAATCAGAACTTATCCTAAATGTTTGATTATAATAAGTAATATTTCTTTTTTCCAAGGCAGCTTTCAAAATTTTTTCTTTGTCTTTGGTTTTGGAAAGTTTGATTATAATATGTCTTGGTGTTTTTCTCTTGGGGTCTATCTTCTGTGGGGTTCTATGAGCTTCTTGGACAAATATCTTTTCTTCCTTCATGATATAGGGGAAGTTTTCTGTTAGCAGGTCTTCCACAATTTTCTTGGTGGTCTTTTTTGCCTCTTCTTGTTCTGGAATTCCAATGAGTCTTATATTGTTTCATGTCATATCATCACATATAATTCTTAGGTTCTCTTCATTTCTCTTAATCTTTGTTCTGATTTTTCTTCTTACAGGCTAGTGTCCAGGGATTTGTCTTCTAGTAAGGATATGTGTTCTTCAGCCAGTTCTAAGCTATTTTTTTGTACTTCTACTGTGTTGTGTAATTCTATCATTTTGGTACTCATCTTCTGCATTTCTAACTGCTGTTTTTATATGAGTTCTGATTGTGCATTAACCTTATTATTCTGTTCCTGAATGGTTTTCCTGAGTTCCTCAAGGGAACTCTCTGTGTTCCTCTTGTTTCTGTTTGGGGTTTCCTTAGGCTTTTGTATGGTTCTATAAACATATCTTCTAAATTCCTTCTCAGATAATTCTGTTGCCTCCTCTTCCTCCATTTATAATGAGACCTTTGTTTGTGGTTTTGCTTCTAATGCCTTGTGCCATTTTTTTTGTTTGTTTGATTGATTTGATGTTATCTGTTTTTTCCTAGACATTTTGAGGTTGTCTTTAATTGTTGGTTATGTTTTGATTTGTTTTGTCTTGGTTTTATGGTTTAATATTTTTAAAAAGTGAAGCTGGTGTATTTTATTTTATTTAATTACTCATTCAGGTATGCTGAGTCACTCTGCAGTTTTCTTTGCGATGGTGGAATCACCGTGTGGAATGTGGATATGTGTTTCTGTTTGTCGTAAAGAGGGTTTTGAGTTCATACCAATAGGTTTTATGTTGGCTGAATGACATTTCTTTTATTGGATGAGTGAGGTTATTGGTGGAGAAGGTGGGAGTGGAAAAAGGAAAGCTTGCTGTTGCTAAGGTCATTTTGTAGGGCTTTGAGCGGGCTGCTACTGATGACCTTGTACTGTTATTTATAGGCCCTCGGCTCAACTTCAGGAATGATTCCTGTTGTCAGGGTATCGCCACTTTCCACCAGGCTCAGACACACACAAAGACCCTGCTCCTGAGGCCCTTCAGCGCCAAAAAGTCGACCCAAGACAATTTCCCGGCTCCACAATGGGCAGCGGATTTTTCTCTCTCCACCCTACCTGCCCGTAGTGCCAGCACAACCCACCCAGACTGCAATCGGTTTGGGATTTGTCTGTGAGACCACCCACCTGCAATGCCAAAGATGTGCTCGGTTTCAGCTGCACTGGATTCGGGAGAGTGCCTGCTAGTAATCTGTGGTCCCGATATTAATGATAAAGTCAAATGCAGACCGCGCAGTGCCACTAATCTGATCCAAGCCTATTCAGTGACCCACTGAGTGGGGAGCGAGCCCACCCTCCTGGAGCACCAATAGGCTCTCTGATTGGGTTTCAGTGGTTCTGGGTGTTTCTGTTTGTACCTAGCTGACCCAAGTTACTGATAAAATCAAGTGCTGAAGGTAGATCCTTGTGTGATCGCTGGTATGCTGGTGTGGTCACTGGTATTTTCTCATGGAGTGTCTTCTGCCTTGATCCAGGGAGGTCTCAGATGGCTGTCCTCGCCTGCTGGTTGCTCCCACAGGAAGTCTCTAGTGGCCTTTCTTGGCTGCCTATCCACGTTCCACAGGGTAGATCTTTAGTTTCTTTCCCTGTACCTTTCCTCTAATTCTACTTCTCTGAGTTTGGTGCACTCTGACTCAGTGAGCTGTTCAGAACACCAAAACACCTAATTCAAACTGTTGTACCTAGTTTTTTACGGACTAAGATGCTACAGGGAAATAGCATGGTGATTACTGAAGAGACTCCATTTTGAATCTCCAAATCCAAGCTTAGTCTTATTGGTTGCCCTTTGTAGGTAACTTTTTATTTTTCCCCTGCTGCTTTCAGGATTGTTTCCTTGTGTTTGGTTTTGGTGAGGTTGATGATGATATGTCTGGGCAATTTTCTTTTGCAGTCTAACCTGTTTGGGGTTTGTTGGAACTCTTGAATGCATATATTCTCATCTTTCATCATACCAGGAAAATTCTCTTCCAGAAAATCTTTAACATTTTTTTTTTCTGTGGTTTTATTTGTCTTTTCCTGTTCTGGAATTCCGATTACATGTAGGTTATTCCTTTTGATGGTATCCTACATGAACCTTAGGCTGTCTTCATTTGGTTTTGTTCTTTTTTCTGGTTGATCCCTTTCCAAAGAAGTATCAAGGTATTTGATTCAATCTCACTAATTCTGTCTTCCATTGAATCAATTCTATTCATTTGCCTGTTCAATGTGTTAACTGTTTCTGAAAATTCAGTATTAATACTCTGGATTTCTGTGTATAGATTTTATATCAATTCTAATTTTTCATTTATTTTGTCATTTTATTCCTATATTGTCTTTGGAAATTTTTCTAGGGTTTTCTCCAATATTGTCAGTGTTTTCCTTGATCTATCTCTTGATTCATTGAAGGCCCTTAAAAATAATCCTTTTGAATTTCTTATCAGGGAATTCCAATGCTGCGTCTTCCTCAGGGATGTGTTTTGGGTCTGTATCCTGGTCCCTTGTTTCTCCTGCTTTATCTTGCTTCTTTTTGTGAACTGTGATGCTCTGTTGTCTCCAAGACATTGTGATGTTTTTGGGGTTTATATTTAATTGGTGATCATATTTTGGGGTCACTTTCCCACGATTTTCATTTTGTTTTGTTTGTTGTTATCTACATAAGCAGGGTACTGTGCTCTGCCCCTCTATTTGCTTGTTGGCAGCACTTATACATTCACCACCTGTCTGCTTTCCCCTTGTCAGCCTTCTGTATGTCCCTACCATCCTTGTCAAACAGAGCTTATTCTTAGGTCTCTGGAATTCGAATGAGAACACTATCAATTTAAAGTAAAAAATGGTTACCGCTTGTAAAGATTCAAAATTGCTGTTCCCTTGGTCACTTTAAATATCAAAAATGGCTGCTGCTTGTAAACAATCAGAATGGCGGTTGTCCCTGGCTAGCTGAAAGTCCACAGCTCAGATTTTCTTCCTCCTTGCTGTTTCCCTTCCTAATCATAGGCCACCAGTGTAGTCATCCATGCAGCCCTTGGTGACCAGAGCTGATCTTTAGGTCAAATCTCAGGTCCCAACACCACTTTGAAATATTCAGGCTGTTGGTCCCATCAGAGTAGCTGACAGTCCACTCCTGCAACTGTCTCCATACTCAGTGTTTTCATTCAGGTTTTTCTACTAGTTGGTGCCTGATCCCGTTCAGTATCCTTCCTTTCAAACCTCAGGGTTCCAGGATCATCTTCCATATCTCTGTCAATTGGTTTCTCTTTTCTTTGTTGAAGAGGGTCTGTGGAGCTTGTCTGCCTATTCTGCCACCTTACCGGAAGTCTTGTAGCCTTTTTTACTTAAATAACAGAAAGACATATATAGTTATACTTTCTATCTCAGTATATAATTCACAGAAGATATATTTCAGTCCATTCAAGGAAAATTTTCAAGAATGCAACAATTAAAAACCAGGTAGTATGCAAGAAATTTATTTCAGACAGGTAACAGAAAAAGTAGTAATTTGAATTTCAAAGTTTAAAGCAATCTCTATGATGTGGAAAAGTATATGGTATAACATAAAGAAGAGATAGTCTTAACCTCTTCAGACAAACAGGCTTAAAGTACGGTAAAGGAAAAATTGTATATAGTTTCCTAATATTCAGGAGATATTAACTTTGGCTTTATGACTGAGATTAAAATTTGTAGTACCAGACAAATTCTGAAATACTGGTGCATGTTGCCAGTTCTTTGACTGATACTTAATGTATGTTTATACAAATTACACAAGCCTTCTACATTTGTTTGCCAACCAGTCCCTCCCCTAAGGAGCTATTATCATAAGTGCTATTATGCCCATTTCTTATTTTTCACATGTTGCTATTAAAAAAAAATTGCAAAGTACATTTATAAAAATTCCTCCTTCAAAACGAGCAGGGTTGGGGGAAAAGAATGTGTTTGAGTAAAAATATTGCAGTGCTAATCATGAAAATTATCTTCTGTGGCTTTTTACTATATATTCTATGCTGCTGTTCTAGTTTTCTTTTCAGAAGAAATGACTTGTTTCTGCCACTGAGTAGTTTTCTTAATCTGCTTTAGTCTCTGTAGAACTTCTAAAGTCCAAAGACCTCTCCATTAGTACTGTCTTGACTCTTTTTAGTCCAGTTTAGCAAGCAGTGTTTCTGCTACTATGATTGCTTGTAAAACTTTGTGAGTTTCCCATGAATTTTATTGGAATTCATTCCATTAGAAATCCACCCTCATATATTGTTTTGCTCTAAGTTCTTTGCCACCTTGGGCTTCCCATGAAGTTTTCATAAGACAGTGTCCTTAAGATTCTTTTACTTTTTAGATTTCTAAGGAATTTAAGGTACAGCCTTAAATCTTTCTGAGGTCTTAACACAGACGTGGTCTTGGATTAAACTTTCGACCCTGTTTTCTTAAAAGTGCTTTGTATTTGATCTTAGCCAGAAGCCATTTCTACATTTTAAAATGATTTGACATGTAGATAAGCAGTGAGTGAGAAACACAATATTTGAACTCAGTGCGTTCTGGCTCCTTTATATTTAACAGTCTTCTATCAGCTTTTCTCTCTCTCCTAATATTTGGCTTTCAGCTGCTATGTAGCAAGAGTCTGCTTTCCTTCAGATTTTAATACAGTTTTTTACTTGCCTTTAAATGTTTACTGTCAGCTTCTTCAAGGGCCATCATGCTTTGACTGACAGTGTCTTTGAGGCCCTTTTAGCTTGCATTCACATTCTTTTCTCTTTTCAGCTTCTTCCAACCTCCTGTGGTCCTAAAGCTACTCCTACATGTTTTAGGGTTGTATGCATGTGTTTTCTTTTTAATGCCAACATCCTATCCTTTAGTATCAGTGCCAATCATTTATTGCTACATTATAAGTCACCTCAAAACTTAGTATCTCTGAACCACAGTTATTTCACTCAGGGATCTTCAGTTTAGACAAGGCTCAGTGGGACCAGCCCATTTCTTCTACATTAAAATGGGCGGGAGTACTTTCTGCTTAAGGTGACTTATAGTCATTTTGAGGAGAAAAGACACATGAAACAATCATAGAAAAATAAAAGAAAGTATACAATCAGGTGCAGAAATTGTGTTGTAAAGCTGATGAATGTGAATATATTTTTGTGACTCCTTGTGGTTTTAATTTTGTTACTGATTTTCTAAGTAAGTCAAGCATTCATATTCCAAGAATTTACCATGTAATATATAGAACATTTTTTTTTTTTACTTTGTATTAAAGTTTGATATTGGCTTTGAGTGAGACAATTCCCAGCCTACTTTCTTTATTACCCAATTATATTATTTTATTCATGCAGATTGATGACATTACAGCTAAACTAGAAACTTCATCTTCAAAATACCTGTACCGGGATGAAAAAAATCAAGCTCTTCAACAGGAGTTGTTTGCTATGAAAGAAGTACAAAAGAAATGTGAAAAAGTAGAGAAGAAAAAAAAGAAGTTGGAACAAGAAGTAGTAAACCTCAAAAATCATCTAGAAATAAATATGATAGAGTACAGTCAAATAGGACAGTATAAACGGGAGATTGAAGAAAAAGCAAGGCAGGACCTAGTAGAAAAACTAAAAGAAGTCAATCTGTTTTTACAGGTTAATTTATTTATCTATAATATGCTTTAATGCATTGTATTTCAAATTATATATTGAATAGATATATTGTATGTGTGTCCTTTACTTTCAGCACTTTGTTTTATAAATTTTTAGAAAGAAAGTAGTAGTTGTTTCTTCCTTTAAATATGCCAGTTTCCAACATCATTATACTAAATTGATCTTTGAGAGTAATGATTCTCTTTAGGGAATCAGTTTATTAATAACACTAGTTGCCATAAAATAAGACTATTAGGAGGAAAAGGAAAAGATATGATTTAAAATATATACCATACTCTTGACTTATTCTTAAGTTATATTTTTACATTTTAAAAAGTTTAATTTGATTCTGTTATTCTTTTGAGTTATCAGATTGTATGACTAATAGCATGAGAATCAACTTACTTATAATTCAGTTATAACTGAGTTGACATTGATGAGAAGTATTGTAAACTTCAGCTTTTTTTGAGTATTTAGAATTTATCTCTGAATCACTACAATTAAAGGAAACTAATACATTATAATTATTCCAGTTATAATCATTTTAAAAATCTGTCCTTTTTATTTGTTTTAGACTCAAACAACTTCTCAAGAAAACTTAGAGCACTTAAGAGAGAACAATAATGCTGCAATAAGAAATCATATGGAACTCAGAATTAAATATCTAGAATTTGGACTGTCTAAAGTTAAAACTTCTCAAGAAGAATCTAGAACAGAATTGGAAAAATACAAGCAACTT